TGCTAAAAATTGGGTTTCGATACCCACAGTGAGCAGAGCATGAATAATCAATTCACTGTGTAGCTTTGTGTGTTTAACAACAAACAAAAATTTGTATCAAATTACGTTGTACATGTGGTATTATAAGTTCAGGACAAATTATAGGAAGAGGTATATGAAAATTACGTTGTACATGTGGTATTATAAGTTCAGGATATGTTGTACATGTGGTATTATAAGTTCAGGACAAATTATAGGAAGAAGCATATGAAAGATATCATATACCAACATATTTGTGCGTGAATAACTTTCTTCTGCAGCATGTTGTACATGTGGTATTATAAGTTCAGGATATGTTGTACATGTGGTATTATAAATTCAGGACAAATTATAGGAAGAAGCATATGAAAGATATCATATACCAACATATTTGTGCGTGAATAACTTTCTTCTGCAGCATACGAAACTAACCCTTCTGGTTCTAATTGTTTCTCAGCTTAAACGCAAACAGCTGACACAATGCCTACGCTATCTTCCCACCAAGCTTCCCATTGTCTCAACTAATTGTGTTTTATACGTTTCCCTATCTTCCCACCAAGATTTCCATTGTCTCAACTAATTGTGTTTTATACATTTCCCTATCTTTCCACCAAGCTTTCCATTGTCTCAACTAATTGTGTTTTATACATTTCGCATTCTTTCCACCAAGCTTTCCATTGTCTCAAATAATTGTGTTTTATACATTTCCCTATCTTCTCACCAAGCTTTCCATTGTCTCAACTAATTGTATTTTATACATTTCCCTATCTTCCCACCAAGCTTTCCATTGTCTCAACTAATTGTATTTTATACATTTCCCTATCTTCCCACCAAGCTTTCCATTGTCTCAACTAATTGTATTTTATACATTTCCGGTATAAAAGATAAAAAAGGACCAGAAGCAAGCACTTCTGGCCACCTGTTTTAAAATTGACGAGAGTGATACAAAGCTATAATTGAAAAAAAAAGTGCTTACTAAATCATTTGCTTTGTGAGTTCCGCCTTGCTCATTAGTAAATGTATAATACTTGACATTTGTTAAAGACGAGGGACGTTAGAAGACTGAGGAAAATAATGGCTGTTAAAAACTTTGTAAGTCTTTTGTTATCTTTAAGATTATGTATACTACTCTTGTCCAAGCCGGATGAAATTTTCCCAGGCAGGTCGTTATTTTATCTATAATAATAACATGATTAATGCAAGAATCATAAATTGATAATTTTGATGTGTGATATTTTACTATCCTTGTATAGATATCAACCACTTTAATGTTAGAGGCTATGAGACAAAACTCGAACCATTGTAAAAAAAAAACGCGTTAGATCAGGCTTTACGTAACTACTGTTTTAATAATTAAAAAAGATGTTATAATCTTACTTTGGTACAAAATATATTTTTAGTATTGCTGCAGAATTTTTAAATATAGTTTATGGTTATATATATATATATAGTAAAAGAAATCTAATCTACATATTGCTCTTGTATAATGCTAAAGATAGACTCAAATGATTTATTATTATTATATCTAAAAATTAAAAATAAATATTTTCTAAGTATAGATTCTATTTTCAGAAATATTACTGTAAGACTTCAGAATATTGAAATAGCGTAATAAGCTATATGAAATTATATCATAATTAGAGTGACCAAACAAGCTGAAATGGATTTTCATAATCGTGTTATTTTCATATGCAAAACATCTTTTTGTATACATAACAACCCCCTCTATGGATAAAATGTAAACATTCACCATTTTGTTTTTGTTAACACCGTTGATCAGAAATTGGTGTCAACAAATTTAACATGCCCCTCACGAGCCAGTGGGGGACATTTTTGTTGAAAAAAACAAACTACCCAATCCGGTTTTTCATACTTTGAATTGAACATTTTTGGACATTTGCATTGGCTAAAAAGAAGGCATTTCCCGCACTCTTTTAGTGTTGGGGCTGCGAAAAGTGATTTGAAATAGTAAGGTTGCTGAAATCCGTCAGCGCATCACGAGCTTAACGGCTAAGCACAAGAAGCATGAAAGTCTCCAAATGACACGCAGAGGTATTCAGGAACCGTTGAGAACCACCTTGGTAGGTATTGTGCAGCAAGCCGAGTACAATATTATGCCTGTAGCTGCTTTCAAAGTGTTCCTGTCTGCTCATCCTACTGCTGACTATCGTGATGGTTCGACCTTCTTTAGCGAATCGCAGGTGAAATAGTTCGTATCTCAAATGAAAGATAAAGATAAAAAGGTGATATCAGGAGCATAAAAGGCTGATAATTGCTCAGTTAATGATGCTAAGAGTGTGGCTTTATATATATATATACTGAATTTACTCCGAGCGGGTAGGCCTTAGTACTAGCTGATATGGAGACTTGAGGATGCTGTATTTCACTTAAAAATTTATCAATTAACAAACGAAAACATGTTTCGAAGTTGTCTCGAAAAGATACGTACAAAACCACCATCTTTGGGACTTTCCGGATTGAACTTACTTTTAATATTCAACAAATTGTAGCGTAAAGAAACTCCTTGGCTCCTGAGGAAAGTATATAAATTTTTATTTGTATTTCAATCAGAGACTACTTGAATATTAACACTGATACTGATTCATGGTCATTGATTTTGCCAATCCTTCTTTGTTTGGTTTTATTTGAGCTTTGTAAAGGATGATATATACTGTCTCTGCTGTTTGTTTATTTTCATGTCGAAAACAAGATTGCAAGTACATTCAGTAAAACAGCCTACTTTTACCTCTCACAACATTATAGAAATATTACTTCATTTTTCATGTTATTACCATGCTATAACTTTATAGCTTGTACACAGATTGATGCACCACTGATAATTGATGCCAAAATTGTAAGTAAATACGTTTGTAAGTGATTAAGCTACGGAAAGAGTAAAAACAATATTTGAAATAATTATGGTAAGGCGCGGATTATACGCATACATTAGTTACAAACAGTTGGTAATTGCATTTAAACGTTCATTAGTGCAATACAGTATTACATAAAATACAAAAGAAAAGTGAATAAGTTATACAATACACTAGTATTTTGTATGTACCTTAAACAGAGCAGTACACCCTATTTTTTATGCTCCCATTAGTATATTAAAGTATGATAATAAAATATTGTTCCAATAGTCCTGTATTACTCCCCACAATTCAATTAAGTTGCTTGTAAGTACAAGCTACCGTTTGTTCCTTCTCAGTATCCATTTAATTCTATAGAACCTTAATAGAATTCATATTAGGATTTTATGCAGGCTAAACCGTGGCTACAATAGTTCTATAGGTAATTTTTCCTCCAGGTATCATTTCACCACATTTTCTGCATGTTTGGCTGGAAGATAAAGCAATGCCCAACAGGTATTTTTCCAGAGGGAAAAGAAAGATGTATAAGAATCCATTTGTACTTGTGAGGGTGCCATAAATCTGTGTAGATTTCTAAACCTAATAGATGAGATGTAGCTTACATTTTTACTGTTCCCCCATCATACTTCACTATAGATGTTGTACGTCGACCACAATATCGTCCTCATTTCTTTTTGTTGATTGTTGTAAAACAATTTAAATTTGATTCATCTCTACCTTCTTCCAGTTATATTTATCAAATTATTTGAAATCTGATGCCAATTTCAGCCAGTGATTTTTGATCAGCTACACATCCATTGAAGCCATCTGGTGTAACATTGAAACCTGCTTTCAGTTAATACATCGACAAGAACTCTACTGGATTGTCGTGTATCACGTAACGAACATACCCTGAGTTACTTAGCATCACTCTTGAAAAGTTTGGGTTTTCTATCTCGATCGATTCTATTACAAACGTAACCCTTTCATTGTTTCCATACAGTTCTTACTAAAACATGAAATTTAGCCTCAATTTGTCACTTGCAATAAAAAATTTGATATATACGCGTATTTCATGTAACATTTCTTTTCTAGAAGCCATGAGTGCATTCAACACAATACTGCTGGAGATAATATGACTGTCTCTACTTAAAATGCATTATTCTGGTGGACACTAAATGGTTGGTTTGATGACAGCCAATCACAGTGCAAACTATCAAACATGTGACTGTACTACGTGAAGGTGATTCTAATACAATAGAGGTGGAACAATCCCAAAGTTTTTGTATTTTATATCCATTTTATCGACTTTTTGTAAACTGATATCCAGTATTGATATAATAGCTAGGAATAAATTTGATGAAGCAAAAGATTGAAAATAACCTATTATGAGATAAAATACTATTCTTTAGAAATAATGGAAGACGAATTGGAAATAAATCCTGTATTGTTTTAGAAATAATATATTTATATATGTTTAACTCGTGTTATTGCTAAGTCAGAAAAGAAATGGACAGGTGGAAGGAAACAAACAAAAATAAATAATAGAATGAATGTTTCCTTACTACTTCTTGGTAAGTATAATCTTCATAACTCGTTTAACGTTAAACAACACAGAAAACTTTAACTCTACATTCTCGAAAAATTAAATATTTTTGGAGTATCATAACGTAATGAACATTTCTAATCTTCCAGCTTGAAGTGCATGCTTTTAACTCAAACTATAACATCAAACTACAACTAGGTGTATTTGTGTATGTAAATGTTTTTATGTGTTCCAAATGTTTTCTTGTGCGTCTGATGAAGCTAAGAAATAGAAATCAGAAGATACAAGCGCCTTCAGACCGGTTGTAGAGATATAGGTGGGAATTCATTTATAAGTAATATCAACTTTAATGTACAAGCTTTTAACTCAAACTATAACATCAAACTACAACTAGGTGTATTTGTGTATGTCAATGTTTTTTATGTGTTCCAAATGTTTTCTTGTGCGTCTGATGAAGCTAAGAAATAGAAATCAGAAGATACAAGCGCCTTCAGACCGGCTGTAGAGATATAGGTGGGAATTCATTTATAAGTAATATCAACTTTAATGTACAAGCCTAATCTTTTATCCTGTACATACTTTTTCAGGACGTACTTTATTCTAGCCTCTAAATTAGTACGGCCCGGCCAGCTTTATCGATTGGCCGTCACCATCTACAAGGCCACAGTGCCAATTACGGTTCAAGCTTGTATTCAGCGGGATGGCGTGGAATTAGTCTCCACATCTAAAGAATACACGGCTAATGTTCCAGATTCTTTGCTTTTAAAGGTATATATGTATAATGTTTCAAAAACGAAGTTTTATTTCCAACGTTCAGATTGATTTTGAATTCATCCAATTAAGTTAAATTAATCAAACAGTTGTGTCATCCATACAGTACTAATTGTCTTTATCATTTGAGATGTGTTATTTTCAGGACGAAATGTGTTATTTATACTTACGTTTCTGTTTCACACTTGTGTGTATCTATATATATATCTGAAGTTTACATAACTTAGCATCTCCTGCTGCGGGCTTAGAGATTTGATGTTTACATGTAGTTAAATGCTGTTTACTAGTTTAGATAATTAATTTTTAGAAGTAGATATCCAGTGTTTACAGTTTTGAAGTTCGATATTTATTATCAGTCATTTAATTTTAGGGGACTAGAAGTTTGATATTTGTATTTATTATACGTTTTATTACTAGTCTAAAGACCTAATATTTACTTGTAGGAGTTTATTATGAAAGTGTAAGAAATTTCTATGAACTTAATCGTTGATTTAAGGTTTACGAGTTGTTGTTTTGAAGTAGTGCTCTGCGTGTACTGGTGTAGAAGTTTAGTATGTGTAAAAGTAGATCTATTGAAGGTGAAGAATAAGTTCGATGTTGACTAGTATTTGCAGTTATGTAAACTTGATGCTAAAATCAGATCTCTGTGTTTACACGTGTAAAAGTTTATGACGTAGTAATTTTTCCTTGTTTAATGGAATAGTAAACGTAACGGGACGTTTCTGGCAATTTTTTAGGATCGAAACATGTAGGTAAATAAGATATAATTTTTTGAACAAAATGCGCTGTTTACAAAGAGAAAGGTATTATCAGCTTTATGTGCAATTGTTGGTCATATAGACAAACACACACACACACAAATATATATATATGTGTGTGTGTGTGTGTGTGTGGTGGTTTCGAGTCACTTGGAAATAAAAACCTGAATATTTCCTGTAGGTACCTCCTACTAGTTTACCTGGGGTGTACAAACTGCGCGTGGAAGGAAACATGAATGGAGTGCTGGGAGGAACTGCATTTGTTAATCAAACTTTGTTAGAATTCTCTCAGCGGTCCATGACTATCTTCGTCCAGACGGATAGCCCCATCTACCGGCAGAAACAGACGGGTAAGTATACAGAGTAGACGATGGGGTGACACATTGTTTAACATAAAATACTCCACTGTATAAATAACGGGTGTTTGATATATACTATTTTATTATATAAGGTACTTATAGACTAAAGTACCGCCCCCCAATGGCACAGCGGTATGTCTGCGGACTTACAACGCTAGAAACCGGGTTTCGATACTCGTGGTGACAAGAGCACAGATAGCCCTTGTGTAGCTTTGTGCATAATTAATTAAAAACAAACAAACTAAAGTACCTCATTATATGAATGTAAGGTAGTTATAGACTAAACTTCGTTGCATGCATTTAGGGTATTTACTATATATTACTTCTTTATATGACCATTGGATGTTTACAGTTCTTACTGTAAGAATATAGGTGATTTACTAAACAGTACCTTACTACAAGAATAAGGGCATTTACTATACAGTACCTCACTATATTAATACTTTTAACTACTTGTGTGACTGTCGGGTAGTTTGAGTTTATACGAATGATCCAACTGGCATTATCTAGTTTGAGTGAACTAGAAAATAGCCAGTCGTTGTATATTTGTTACTGTAGGTCAAAGATTAAAGTTAGAAAAAATGGTCTTTTTTATCAGCTGTAATCTCTACCTTGACCAAATGAAGCAGAATACTGTTGTTACATAAGAAAAGAACCTACAGTATGTCCTTATAGCTAGTATGGTACCTGTTGTGCATAATAGCGTTACTCTGACTGCATATTTGTTATAGGTGTTCTGGCGGTATTTGGTTTAAATTTTAAAGTTTTGACATTCGAAATCTGGACTTTTTTTATTATTTGCTTTCGTATACTAGAGACAGTTAAATCCGTATTCACAATTACCTTTTTTATGGTTGTATTTATATTCACATTTAGCTCTTTATGGTTATTTCAATTTCACAATTAGCATATAGGGTTATTTTCATATTGACAATTAGCTGGTTTTGGTTATTTTTATATTAACAGTTATATATGTATGCATATATATACTAACTGGAGTACCCGTCCCCTGGACAGAAGTTATGTAAATTCGTGATTACTGAAAGGTTATCTTAGGACATGAAAAGTTGCTTCCCTTGTATGTAATTGTAAAAACTCAAAAACGCCCATAGATACTGCAAAACATAAAATGTGAAACCGCAAGTGTGCATGTATTTCCGCATAGACCCAACAAACCATCACGCCAAGTTTCGTAAAGATCCATCAACAGGGGGCAAAGTAGTGGTAAAAGACGCCCGTGAAAACCGCGAAACGCAAAAATGAAAATTTGTATGTATCTCCCCATAGACCCAATGAACCTCCATACCAAATTTGGTGAAGTAGTTACATGGACATACAACAAACAGTACAGTCATACTTATATAAATATGTGTGTGTGTGTGTTTGTGTTATGGAATGAAAGAAAAAGTATGTTTAAATGTTATTTATATGTTTCTCAGTTCACTTTAGAACAATTCCAATCACGACCGACCTTAAGGCGTTTTCTGATGCTGTGGATGTTTATATGTTAGATCCAAGGGGAACAATTATGAAGAAATGGCTTTCTCGTCAAACTAACTTGGGTATGTCTAAACAGAATTATAACAACTCAGTACAAATTTCGGTGTTTTTTGTTGTTGTTGTTTTCATAATCAAATCTTTTGTTTATTATATTTATTGTGATACATTTTGATACCTGAATATGTCTTTAAAGTTTTCGTTTTATTGTTTTACATTTCTTAGGCGTGACATCTTAAAACATTCAACAATTCTATGCCCATCAAAGGTTATACGTGTTTACTAATGAACGGCTATATGTATTGTATTCAGGGGCTGTGAGCTTAGAATATGAACTATCCGAACAACCTGTTTACGGAAACTGGATTATTCGCGTTGTAGCTCAGGTAGGTTTCAAAGGACGAAACGAGGGATTATTGTAACAGATCAGATATTTAATTCGTGTGTTATAATGGCAAAAAAAAAAAGAGTTTCATTTCAAATCAATTTTTAAGTATGCCACTATTTAATTACTTTTCATGATAGTTCAGTCTGTCAGTATTGAATTACTTTTCATGATAGTTCAGTCTGTCAGTATTGAATTACTTTTCATGATAGTTCAGTCTGTCAGTATTGAATTACTTTTCATGATAGTTCAGTCTGTCAGTATTGAATTACTTTTCATGATAGTTTAGTCTGTCAATATTGAATTACTTTTCATGATGGTTCAGTCTGTCAAGTATTTAATTACTTTTCATGATAGTTCAGTCTGACAGTATTGAATTACTTTTCATGATAGTTCAGTCTGTCAGTATTGAATTACTTTTCATGATAGTTCAGTCTGTCTGTATTGAATTACTTTTCATGATAGTTCAGTCTGTCAATATTGAATTACTTTTCATGATAGTTTAGTCTGTCAGTATTGAATTACTTTTCATGATAGTTTAGTCTGTCAGTATTGAATTACTTTTCATGATGGTTCAGTCTGTCAAGTATTTAATTTCTTTTCATGATAGTTCTGTCTATCACATATAAAAGTTTTGCCGCTTTAAGATTCATTAATGATATTCGATGAATTAAAGTCATTATAAAAATAACAATAGTAGTGGAGGAGTTTTGATTTGAAAGCGTGATCTTAAGGGTGTGTGTATAATTAGTTTAATAAAAGTTAAGCTATCATTTTCTTTACTTACATATTTCACGATGTTGATTATGTAATAACTTATCCTATAACCGGAAAACGATCGATTAAACGGGTTTGTTTTTTATCAGTGCGCGTGAATGTTTTTTTTTCTTTTACTTAACTTCTAAAGGCGTATTTTTGTTAACCAATTTGAATAGTAATGTTGGGTAAAGGCTTCGTCAGATAGCATAGCTTATAAATCAACAATGAATTATTATTTCACACTATGCACGTCAGTTTCACGTAAATATATCGCTCGCTTTGAACTGTCGATTGAAAGAAGGTAACCTATTTCACACTCTAGGAAGATTTCACTAACATATTTCAAACGTATCGTTTTACTAACAGTACTGCAGTAAATACTACAAACACTATTTCTCTGTACTACATTTTAGCTTCCATTAGTGTATTGATTTCCTTTCATTTTCAGGGACAAGTCGAGGAAAAGACATTTCTGGTGGAAGAATATTGTAAGTTGAATTAGAATATTTCTTTTCTTTCATTACGTAGTTATCGACTTCAACTATAAACGATTTGGTTTCTTATAATTGGGCAACTTATGTCGTTTATACCTCATTCAATTGAATGCTGCAAAATTTTCTTCAGTTTAACATTTAAATTTTAATGTTATGCTTTTCCGCAAACTATGCGAACGATACCATATAAATAACACTCATGATATCGTAAAAGAGAAATATTTTATATACATGTATACTATGTAACGTACCTGAGTAATAGTATTTACATATGAAATTATATATATATCACATAAGACTGTGGTTTATTTATTTTTTAAATTTTGATTATTACTTTTTTGTTTGTTTGTTGTTAAACTCTCAGCTACACAATGGGCTATCTGTGTTGTGCCCACCACAGGTAGTTAAACCCAGTTTTAGCTTTATAAGTATTCAGACTCGGTTGGGTTTGATTTGGTTGTTTTAAGTACAAAGTTTTACAATGAGCTATCTGTGATCTGCCCACCACGGGTATCGAAACCTGAACTTTAGTGTTGTAAGCCTGCAGACATATCGCTGAGCCACTGAGGAGCTAGGTTCGTGCTATTTATTCCCAATATTTAATTTACTAGTTAATTTTGCTACAACTTTATTTTGAGAAGTTTAGTTTCTAAGTGATTTTTATAGATTTTATTAGCGCTTATGCTATTCTGTTTTCTGATTTGCAAAAAGTTCAACTATTTATCATATTCTGTTTTGATTATCTGATTTCCCGTAACTTCTGTTAACGCTTTTAATATTTTGGTTTGATTCTCTGGTTTTCTGTAACTTCTGATAACGCTTTTAATATACTGTTCCTAATGTTCTATAACTTTTTCTAGCGCTTTTACATTTTACTGGTTTCTGATCTTCTATACCTTTTGTTAGCGCTTTTATATTTTGTAGGGGTATGTGATTTTACAATAACTTCTGGTAGCGCTATTGATTTTCTGGTTTTTGATTTTCTATAACTTTTGTTAGCACTTTTATTCAGTGTGTTTTTAGATATTTAATTTCTGATTGTCTACAACATCCGTTAGCTCTTTTGGTATTGATAGTTTCCAATTCTTGTAACATCAACGTTCATACTATATATTATGGTTTCTGATTTTTTAAAACTTTATTTGTAGATTTGATTATTCACATTTTTGATTATGCTTAACTTCTGTTATGGGCTTTTACTATTTTGGTTTCTTATTTTCGATACCTTCTGTTAGCGCTTTTGCTGTTTTGACATTTTATTTTTCATAACTTCTGTTAGAGCTTTTTCTGTATTGGTCTCTTATTTCTAATAACTTCTGTTAGCGCTTTTGCTGTTTTAGTCCCGTATTTTTAATACTTTGTTAGCGCTTTTGCTGTTTTAGTCCCGTATTTTTAATACTTTGTTAGGGCTTTTGCTGTTTCAGTCTCATATTTTCAATAACTTTTGTTAGCGCCTTTGCTGTTTTGATCTCTTATTTCTAATAACTTATGTTAGCGCTTTTGCTGTTTTAGTCCCGTATTTTTAATACTTTGTTAGGACTTTTGCTATATTGATCTCTTATTTTCAGTAACTTCTGTTCACGCTTTTGCTATTTTGATCTCTTATTTTCAGTAACTTCTGTTAGGGCTTTTGCTATTATTCTGTCTTTCTAAATAACAAGGTCCAGCATGGCCAAGTGGTTAGGGCTCTCGACTTGCAATCTGAGGGTCGCGGGTTCGAATCCATGTCACACTAAACATGCTCGCCCTTTCAGCCGTGGAGGCGTTATAATATGACGGTCAATCCCACTATTCGTTGGTAAAAGAGTAGCCAAAGAGTTGGCGGTGGGTGGTGATGACTAGCTAGCTGCCTTCCCTCTGGTCTTACACTACTAAATTAGGGACGGCTAGCGCAGATAGCCCTCGTGTAGCTTTGCGCGAAATTCATAACAAAACATTCTAAATAACATCAGCAGTTCTACTATTCTGTTTTCAGATTTTCCTTAAGTTCAGTATTTTTCTTATCTCTGATGTTCTTTTACTCCTGCTATTGCTTTACCTATTGTGGTTAAATGCTGCAAGAATTTTTCTTATATTTTATTGCCGAAAATAAGTAAAAAAAGCAATCCAAAACTGTTCGGTTCCAATGTATATATATCCGGTATCTACTTATATAAAAATATAAATATCATGCTATATTTGATTAGATTGTATACCTTGCATTGCCCGTTTGTTTGATAATGTTTTATCGATCAGTGATGGAGCAATAGAAATAAGATTTTATTCTTTTACTTCCGAAAACTTTACTTAGAGCTACAAATAATATGTAACATTTTTACATTACACAAGAAACGCTCTTACGAAAACGATTAAAAGATCAATTTTCAAAAAAGGAATCCATTTGTTATTTCGAGTACGCGCCATCTCCAACAGATGTTTTTTTTTTCTTTGTATTTGGCCATAAAATCTCCTATTATTGATTTATTAAATAGTTTGGGGGCAGATTATTGAAAAGGGCTCTGGTTTTCGATTGTTTTCTGTGACAATTTTATTTGATTTTTTTAATAAAAAACTTAAATCCGTATTTCCAACTACGTATTTTTATATTGGAATTCGTTAATGAGGATATTAAAGCGAAGCTATTCATTTGGGAAATAAAAACGCATCCAAGGATACCTAACAATATAAAATTATTGTACAAAAAGAAGATACAGATAGACTATGAATGAGAAACTACTAAAAATATTTGATGAAAACTATGATTTTAAGATTTTATACTGAACAGTACGATCGAAACTGACTGTAGTTTATATGAAATGTGTTAGGCGCAAGTATGCATTTGTTATATACACCTGGAAAAAAGTT